GTAAGAGAATCTCTCTGATTAACCTACTTGAGAAAAACCTGTCAATGTGCCAATTGTATTTTTTCAAGTTAAATAAAACACATCCACAATGTCCTACATTAGTAAGATACTATGGAAGTAAAATAAACCTCCATCTCTTTTAAAAATAAAAATAAAAAAGCCCTAATTTCAGAAATGTTTCATTTGCACTTAACATAGGCAGGTCAAAAGGCATAATAGTATTCTGGTCCATGATAAGTGATAGAAGCAATAAATATTCTTCAGTTTTTAAATTTTGAATAAGATAGTTCCTTTGGTTGATGTTTCAGTGAAATGTACAAATGACCAGCTATAGGCTGATGAAGTATTGAAACATTTATGACATAATAAATGTGTGACAAATCTGCTGCAGCTCACTGGAAGGAGTGAAAAAGATACTCTGACAAGATGAATGGAATGGCTATCAAAGGACAGCAAAGAGGAAGCCAGACTGAAACTCACCGTCTGTAGGGCTCAGTCCTCGGGCTGCTGAGATCATGGACAGAGAAGGGCTGCTGTGCAGGGAACGGATGTAATCCATATAAGGGTTAATATAGGGATGAGGTGGGCTGAAAGGAGACTCTGATGCTGCAGCAGGGTTCCTATGTGGAGATATTCTGAGGAACGGCAAGTCTGAATATGTTGGACTACTTGACAGAGCTGAAGGCCTGGAAGAAAAAGAAAACAAAATGTACACATCTATTTATTTATTTATTTATTTATTTATTTATTTATTTATTTATTTATTTATTTATTTAAAATAAATATCTTTTAACTGTATTTGCAATTACAATCTAACTGTTACAAATAGTTTTAAATATATTCTCTCTCTCTCTCTCTCTCTCTCTCTCTCTCTGTGTGTGTGTGTGTGTGCGTAGCCTACTGGGATTTTATACCAGTGCAAGCAAAATTGTGTAACTGAATGTATATAATGAGGTGCCTGTTGTGTGGATATTATGTAAATACTATGTGACCAGACATGTGACTAGCACCTAATCAATTATCTTCAACTACATGATGAAATTTGTGTTATTTCCAAGCACTAGCATGCATATACTCTCTCACACACAAACACATGAACATACATATATACAATAAAATGCAAATGTTTCAGGTTATTAGTACCTACTAAAGTAAGTTACATTGATTCAGTTGGGCTGCTCTACTTGGGATTAACAATCTTGTTTGACCCTATATATGTACTATTGGTGGAGTGTAGTGAAGAGATGAATGGGCTCCAGAGACCAGGGTTTAATTTTCTGGCTCTGCTACAGAAACTCACTGTGGGGTGGAACTGGTAAACCTTAAATAACTCACTTAGCTTGAAAAACCTGTTAAGGTTAATAAAAGTGAATTCTGACTTGACTGCACATAACATAATACGTAGTATTGGATCCAAGCTAAATTATGGCTAGAACCTAGTTGACAATTTACACTTGCATCAGTGAAACAAAAAAGTCACAGCAGAAAATTTCCACAAAATAAGAAATGCTGGTTGCATTCCTAGGCACATAGCCAACCACATGAATGCCTAGGAACACAACCACCACTTGCTGCCACACCCTACAGCACTGGTTCTTAACCTTGGGTTACACAGGAATTTTGGACTGCAACTCCCAGAAGCCTTCACCACCAACTGTGCTGGCTGGGGTTTCTGGGAGTTGCAGTTCAAAAACATCAGAGTAACAAAGGTTATGAACCACTGCCCTACAGCATTATGTGAATCACCAATTGGATCCCAGCCAAAGACAATTATATTTTACATTCCCTTCAAGGAGCCCAAGGTATTCCATATGGGTCTTTTCTTTCTCTTCCTAACCTCATAATATACCTCTGAGGTACATTAGATTGGCAGAAAGTGATTGGTCCATGGTCACCCTGTGAGTTTCATGGCTCAGAAAGGGGGGAAAATGTATCTCTTAAGTCCCCACCTGACATGTGAATGACTACAGCACTCTGGATACAATTATTACAATGTCACTAATACTAGAACTACTGTATACCATTGCAACAAACCAGGGAAAATCTGTTGTGGGTTAGATACAAACAGGAGAAATTCCACTTACAACACACACTCAAGTTGCAGCATTCCCCCCCCCCATGCTTCAACCCAGTATTCTGTTCTGTGGTCATGCTATGGGCATATTTGGGCTTCACAGGAGGTCACACAATAGGAATGTAATACTTCACTCCTGACTCTCCTGTCTATTTTTTTAAGTTTGTTTATAAGCAGCCTCAGAGGTTTGATTTGTGTGTGTGTTTTTTTTTAAATACAGGTTTTAAAAAAGGAATTGATTCTCCACATTAGTAGTAGTAGTATACTTTACTATGGTCAAAGACCAGTACAAATCAATGTAAAATAGATACATACAATTATTGTTTCATAAAGTCGGCCAAGGTAACAAAATTCCATTAAAACATGATAAAACATGAGCACTCAGAAACACAAAGGGGAAAAAAACCACAAGCCTCTGGGTGCAGATTTTATAGCAGCAGCAGTAACCTAAACACTTCATCCTGCTAAAACTCAGGGCTCGTCGATCTGATGTTCCTATGGGAAGCATTCATGTGATCCTCTGACCTTTGTGTCATGAGTTTTTGCCAAAGCTTAGTCCTCACCCTGGCTACTGGGGAAGGGGAATCTGGTGGTGATTCAGTTGTTTGTGCTTCTAATTGCCCAGCATTTTCCTCAGCTATAATTAATCCCTCAGATTCCAGATCTTCTTCGGCTGAACTCATGACACTATCCACCTCCACAGGGCTCTCCCCCCTCAGATGAGCCACGTGAATCAGGGTAGGTGACATGGAACTGTTGTACAAAGTTGGGGGGGTGTAAGTTACTTGCGGGTACCCATGTGTCATGTTCCCTGGGGTTAGAACAACAGAGTCCAATAAGCCAGTCCTATGTCAGAAATTCAGAGAATACAGACCCGCTATCCAAATACCAAAGCCAACTCACACAACATAGTCCAGGGTCAGAGTCCAGAGCCAAAACACACAACATAGTCCAGGGTCAGCGTCCAAAGCCAAGGGTCCAGAGAACAAGGTCCAAGGTAGTCAGGAGCGTGGATGCAAACCAGAGGTTTGACTTGTTGCTTCCACAGATTTTCAGCCATCTGAGAGCTGTTTATATAGTAAAAACAGCCCTTGAATTGCTGGAAGCCTTTTCATCCTGTCAGAACTCAGGGCTATTTGATCAGATGTTTCTGCGGGCAGCCTTCAAGTGATCCTCTGACCTTTTTGTCATAAGTCTTCCCCAAAGCCTGGCCCTCAGCCTATCTACTAGGGGAGGAGAATCGGGAAGCGATTCAGCTGTTTGTGTTTCTAATCGCTCAGCATTTTCCTCAGCTACAGTTAACCCCCCATGTTCCGGATCTTCAGCTGCACTCATGACACCATGATCGATCCTCAGGAACATAGCCCTCCCACTCCATGAGGTACTGAAGGCCTCCCCGGTGGATTCGGGAGTCTAAGATCTGATGAACCTTGTATTCTTCCTTGCCATCAATCAAAATGGGTGGAGGTGGAGCCGGGGTGGAGGTCGGGCAGGGTCCAGTGCCACAACAGGGACAAGGAGGGTCTGATGGAAAACCAGGTGAATACAGAGTGTGCTGGAAGTTGTAACCGAAAATCGACAGGGTTGATATGATCTGTGATTAAATATGACCTCACAAACCGAGGGTCCAACTTGCATGACTGGCCAGGTCGGTGTAGATAATGGGTGGAGAGTCAGACCTGGTCCCTGGTTTCAGAGGTGGCCCTTCTTGCCGTTTCCTATCAGCCGCTGTCTTATAGGCATCCTTAGCTTGCTGAAGCTGCTCTTGGAGTAAATCTTGGAGAGCCTGCAACTCGTGTATGTGAGCATCAGCAGCAGGAACTACGATCAATGGCAGGACAGCTGGGAAAAAACGAGGGTGGTATCCATAGGTGGCTGCAAATGGGGTCTGTTTTGTGGACAAATGTATGGCATTGTTGTAGGCGAACTCAACCAGAGGTAGCAATGTAGCCCAATCATCTTGCTGATAGCAGGTACAGCAACATAGATACTGTTCAAGGGTGGCGTTAGTATGCTCAGTCTGTCCATCTGTTTGTGGATGGTACGTCAACGATAAGTGCACCTGGGTACCTAAACTAGTGTACAAGGCTTGTCAAAACCGGGAGGTGAATTGGGAGCCATAATCTGAAATTAAGTATGTCGAGAGCCCGTGTAGACAGAAAACATGTTGAAGATAGAGCTAAGCTGTTTCAGGAGCTGTGGGAGGCTTGGAACATGGGACAAAATGAGCCATTTTGGTGAACAGGTCCACTATTACCAGAATACAGGTGTACCCTTGTGACCGTTGGAGGTCAGTGATGAAGTCCAGAAATACTGTGTCCCAAGGGCCGGCTGGTGTGGGTAGTGGATTCAGCAGCCCTGGAGGTTTAGCTGGTACATCCTTGGCTTAAAGACAAACCTCACAGGAATCAATGTAACAAGCGACGTCAGCACAAACCCAGGGCCACCAGAACTCCCGTGTGAGTAGATGCAGAGTCTTATACCAACCAAAGTGTCCTGCAGGAGGGGAATCATGGATCAAATAGAGCATGTTGGTTCGGAGGGGTCCTGAAGGAACATAAGGCACCCTTGGTGCAATAGGAGACCCTGGTGGTTAGCAAAGTCTCCAGCAGGGCCCTCTTGGAGTTCTTGCAAGCATTGCTTGGCCCAGGAATCTTGAGCTTGGCTGGCCCGAATTTCCTCAGCCAGGGACAAGCGGGTTGTGGTGGCTGCGAAGACTGAGGGTGATAGGATAGGTGCAGTTGGAGACTCTTCGGAGGATGATACCACATATTCCGGTTTGCGGAAGAGGGCATCGGTTTTCAGATTCTGGGTCTGCGGGATGTAGGTAATGCGGAAGTCAAACCAGGAGAAGAAGAGGCACCACCGGATCTGGCGTTGATTAAGGGGTCGAGCTGTCTGCAAGTGTTCCAGATTCTGATGGTCAGTTAAAACTTGGACGGGGTGATGGGCCCCTTCAACGTAATGCCTCCAGACCTTGGAAGTGGTTTTGATGGCCAGGAATTCCCGCTCCCAGATGGTGTAGTTGCGTTCTGAAGGTGTGAACTGCCGGGAGTAAAAAATGCAGGGCTGCAGTGGCTATGAGGGGTCCTCCCGCTTGGACAGCACTGCACCCAGGGCAACACTGGAGGCATCCGTCTCCACAGTAAATGGTAATCGGGGGTCTGGATAACACAAAATTGGCTTGGTTGTAAAGTGAGTTTTCAGTCTCCTGAAGGCATGGTCTGCCTCCAGAGTCCAAAGAAACGGCTCTTTGGGCCGGAGGAGATGGGTCAGCGGTGCGGTTATGTCTGCATAGGCTGGTATAAACCAGCAGTAATAGTTCGTGAAGCTGAGAAACCGCTGCACATCTTTATGGTTCTGGGGCTTCTGCCAGGTCAGAACTGATTCTATTTTCTTTGGGTCCATCTGGATCCCTTGGGGTGATACAATGTGGCATACGAACTCGACTTCCTGCAGGTTGAAGTCACACTTATCCAGCTTGGCACAGAGTCGGTGATCTCGTAGTTATTGTAAGACCTGGCAAATGTGTTCTGTGTGCCAAACGGGGTCTTGGGAGTAAATCAAAATGTCATCCAAATAGATTATCACAAAGCGATCAAGCAGATCTCA